GACCACGGGATGTGGAGGTAGTGACCACGTGATGTAGAGGTAGTGACCACTGGATGTAGACATAGTGACCACGGGATGTAGACGTAGTGACCACGGGATGTAGAGGTAGTGACCACGTGATGTAGACGAAGTGACCACGGGATGTAGACGTAGTGACCACGGGATGTAGACGTAGTGACCACTGGATGTAGAGGTAGTGACCACGTGATGTAGACGTAGTGACCACGGGATGTAGAGGTAGTGACCACGTGATGTAGACGTAGTGACCACGGGATGTAGAGGTAGTGACCACGTGATGTAGACGTAGTGACCACTGGATGTAGAGGTAGTGACCACGTGATGTAGCCGTAGTGACCACGTGATGTAGATGTGGTGACCACGGGATGTAGACGTAGTGACCACGGGATGTAGAGGTAGTGACCACGTGATGTAGATGTAGTGACCACTGGATGTGGAGGTAGTGACCACTGGATGTAGAGGTAGTGACCACAGGATGTAGAGGTAGTGACCACGTGATGTAGAGGTAGTGACCACTGGATGTAGAGGTAGTGACCACTGGATGTAGAGGTAGTGACCACGTGATGTAGAGGTAGTGACCACGTGATGTAGATGTAGTGACCACTGGATGTGGAGGTAGTGACCACGGGATGTGGAGGTAGTGACCACGTGATGTAGAGGTAGTGACCACTGGATGTGGAGGTAGTGACCACGGGATGTAGAGGTAGTGACCACTGGATGTGGAGGTAGTGACCACGGGATGTGGAGGTAGTGATCACGGGATGTAGAGGTAGTGACCACTGAATGTAGAGGTAGTGACCACGTGATGTAGAGGTAGTGACCACTGAATGTAGAGGTAGTGACCACTGGATGTAGAGGTAGTGACCACTGATGTAGAGGTAGTGACCACGTGATGTAGATGTAGTGACCACTGGATGTAGAGGTAGTGACCATGTGATGTAGAGGTAGTGACCACGGGATGTAGAGGTAGTGACCACGTGATGTAGAGGTAGTGACCACTGAATGTAGAGGTAGTGACCACAGGATGTAGATGTAGTGACCACGTGATGTAGAGGTAGTGACCACTGAATGTAGAGGTAGTGACCACAGGATGTAGATGTAGTGACCACGTGATGTAGAGGTAGTGACCACTGAATGTAGAGGTAGTGACCACGGGATGTAGAGGTAGTGACCACGTGATGTAGAGGTAGTGACCACTGAATGTAGAGGTAGTGACCACAGGATGTAGATGTAGTGACCACGTGATGTAGAGGTAGTGACCACTGAATGTAGAGGTAGTGACCACTGGATGTAGAGGTAGTGACCACGTGATGTAGAGGTAGTGACCACGGGATGTAGAGGTAGTGACCACGTGATGTAGATGTAGTGACCACTGAATGTAGAGGTAGTTACCACGTGATGTAGATGTAGTGACCACGGGATGTAGAGGAAGTCACTGCATGTGGGTCCACTGCACGGGGGTCCACTGCAGGGGTCCACTCCACGGGGGTCCACTGCACGGGGGTCCACTGCATGGGGGTCCACTGCACGGGGGTCCACTCCATGGGGGTCCACTCCACGGGGGTCCGCTCCACGGGGTTCCACTGCACGGGTGTCCACTCCACGGGGGTCCACTCCTTGGGGGTCCACTGCACAGGGGGTCCGCTCCACGGACGTCCACTGCACGGGGGTCCACTCCTTGGGGTCCACTGCACAGGGGGTCCGCTCCACGGACGTCCACTGCACGGGGGTCCGCTCCATTGGGGGTCCGCTCCATGGGGGTCCGCTCCACGGTGGTCCACTGCACGGGGGTCCACTGCACGGGGGTCCTCTCCATGGGGTCCACTGTACAGAGGTCCACTGCACGGGGGTCCACTCCACGGGGGTCCACTGCACGGGGTTCCACTCCACGGGGGTCCACTCCATGGGGGTCCACTGTACAGGGGTCCACTGCACGGGGTTCCACTCCACGGGGGTCCACTCCAAGAGGGTCCACTGCACGGGGGTCCACTCTATGGGGGTCCACTGCACGGGGGTCCACTCCATGGGGCTCCAACTGTGAGTGTGTGTGTGTGTGTGTGTGTGTGTGTGTGTGTGTGTGTGTGTGTGTGTCTGTGTTTGTGTGTGTGTCAGTTTGAGCAATTTATTTTATTTTTATTGGAAATATAAAAATCTATAAAATTCTTCAGTTGCAAGGTCGATTATGAGCACACACACCACGTAGTGACCACTGAATGTAGAGGTAGTGACCACTGGATGTAGAGGTAGTGACCACTGAATGTAGAGGTAGTGACCACTGAATGTAGAGGTAGTGACCACGTGATGTAGATGTAGTGACCACTGGATGTAGAGGTAGTGACCACGTGATGTAGAGGTAGTGACCACGGGATGTAGAGGTAGTGACCACTGGATGTAGAGGTAGTGACCACGTGATGTAGATGTAGTGACCACTGAATGTAGAGGTAGTGACCACGTGATGTAGAGGTAGTGACCACTGAATGTA